TACCTGGGAGTATGAACAAGGTTGATTGGCATAAAACACAGTTCAAAGTGGTTTTGACAAGTAACGAAAGCTCTCTGGGACCCATGGGTAAGACTAACCATGGAAGTCAGCAGCCAAGCAGACAGAATCTGGGGGCCAGATGAGTAGAACTGGAAGCTCCTATGCAGACTATGTGTCTTCGTGCCCTGCTTCTGCCATTGGTGTCCTTAAAGTGAAAGCCCTGCATTCAACATCCCAAGACAGGTACCAGCTGTCTCAGTGACCCACCTTGAGTCCTCAGCTGTGATCTCATGGCTCAAATGGAAAGAACTCAATCCATCAGACCAGGTACCCAATCTGGACTCTCCTGATTGGACAGGTTGAAGTCACGGGATTTGTGCCTGGACGGCAGTGGGAATCCTGAGATAAAGGATTAGAAAGTAGCCGCCGCATGTTCTGTGCCTTGTTTCCAAGGATGTATCACTAGTGCATACCTCCCCCAGCGCACTGACCAGGGTCCCCAGAAGAATTCATGATAGCAATTCTCACCTGCAGGTACCTGTTCACTGGTGGACATGGACTTCTATTCTGAGGGTTAGAATTGGAATTTGCTGTTGTTTGTAGTCCATCCAGGATAACAGAACCTTCAGTTCAATCCCTGACCCTGTCAGGATGAAAGAAGCACAGAATTGTCTTCTTCTGCCTCAAATGTTTGCAGGAATTTACCATTGATGCTATCCAGCACTTGAAGACAGGCATGGGATTCCACATCTGTAAAAGATGATCTCAGGAAGTAGAGAAGGGGTCCATCACTGTGAGTTTGAGAACTGCATGTTCTACACAGAGTCTCTCAGGATAGCCAGGGCTATAGAGTGAGACACAATCTCAAAAAAAAAAAAAACCAAATAACTATAAAATGAGGATTCAAGAAATTTCCTTATCTCATTTCCAGAATTCAACAAACTCCTCAACCATGTCTAAAACTCTGCCTTCACTGATGTGCCACAGAGACACAGCCTGACACCAGGTGATCCCCACAAACTGAAAATTTCTCTCTCTGATCAAACTGACTGGGTCTTGTTGTGTGCACATGGGACTCACCAGACGATCAGGGATCTAGAAGTAAGTGACAGTACAAGATGGCTCTCATCCTGCTGGGAAGATCTGGTCAAAGCCTGTAATATACATCAGTGTTTGTTAACAGGCCAGGATCAGATGGTCAGAATGGAGCTGGAGGCCAACTACAGCAGAGAAGCTGGTTCCTCCCTTGTCACACCTCTGCAGTCTCTCAGTCTCCCATTGCTCTTCAGTTGAGCAAATCAATGATAACTTTCCTGTGTGTCATGGATCCTGGCACAGGGCACTTCATGGGATCGTTTTCAGCACATCAAGACCAGGCTTCAGAGACTCATCTTCTACCACAAACAGATACTTACTGTACTCAATCTTACCTTCAGGTGCAGGATTCACACAGATTAGTACCGTGGAGTCCCGGTTTAGTTCATTTTCTCTTGCCAAATCAGTGATTTGCTCCCTATTGAAAGGTATCCTGGAAACCAGTCTAGACACTACACTGACCATTGCTTCACACTGCATCAGTGACTGTCATCAAGAGATCCATGATGATCAAGGTTTCCTTGTAAGTCTGACCCCAGAGGTGGGACTTGGTCATAGAGATGTCCCGTGGCTCTGGCTTTGTAAAGGCAGTACTCAGTATCAGGCCTGACAATGTCAACTTACCATGCCACGCTGGAGCAGAACAATGTTAATGTAAGGTCAAATATCAGGTATAAATCCTTCCATGACATGGGAAAATGATGCAAGATTCTTAGGAGGAGGGAGGTAACATGGGAAGCCCGGGAAAAAAGGCTGTGGAGACAATGACAATGATGTCACCTGATATGCCAAAGGCCATGTCAGACAAGACCAGAAGAGGACCCCACTGAATGATGAAGCCACCCTAACCACACCCTTCATCAGAAAACCAGAATGGGAATCCCTTTCCAAAGCAGCCTCATAGTTCTCTACCTTGACATATGCTAAGAAGGATCAGAACAGAGCCTTCACTCCTCATGCCTGAATAGAAGCCAAGGATGAAAGCACAGTCTCACTCTGCTCTGCTTGAGACGTTTGTTCCTGGTCTCACTGCCTCAGGACCCCTACCCAGGACAACATCCTTTTCTAATGACTGATTTCAGGTAATCTCCTCTAGACACATTCTGCCGCTCTCCACAGGTCCTCTCATTTCCTCTTCATGCTCCCCACCTCCTTTCCCCTGTTCCTCCCCTTATCTCCATTCTCCCATCTCCCAGTGGATTTACAGTTGCTGTAGTTCTTCTAAAAGACAGTCAGAAAGCAGTTTGGAGGTGATGAATAGATCAAGGATGAGGGAAGCCTGAGACCTGTGTGCAAGTCTGTCCTGTTGACAGAAGCAGCCCTTTTAGATGCCTTGGAACCCTGGCCCACAGGAACCATGAGGGATGTAGACATTCACTTTGTCGATGCTACACCTGACTCTCAGGGATG